ACGACATGGAATTTAATGCATCAAAATGTACGGCGGTATCCCTTCGACAAAAAACTCGATTTCCGTATTTCCTGGGAGATTACCAACTTCCGTACGTCTCGAATGCGAAGGATCTTGGCGTCATTGTTCAAGACGACCCAAGCTGTTCTTTAAATTGCTCCCGGGCGCCGTCCATCGCTGTAAAACGAGTATTTGGCAAATTTGAACCTACGCTGTTCCCACGATTGTGTGCATTACTTCCCTACCACCGCACGTTGTTTCTGCCCCCACAATTGAGTCATCCAAGCACAAACTAAATGAAACTCGAAAAGTCTTAAATTTCAACATCCGTAGAAGTGCACGAAACAAGGACAAATTGTGACATTCATCCACTTTGTATGAACTGTGAATCGATTCATCTATGCTAAACCCTATGGGACTAGAAAAGCAACCGCTTGTAAGTATTTCCCATAATAAAACTTTGACTTTGTTTCAAACTTATCTAACTTTTAGCCACAACAACACACTTTTTTGGTTGACTAATCTCTAGCTAGTAAATGTTTATTCAGACTACCGACAATTTGGGCAGTTGAATATAACCGTTTACGTCTATTGATGATCTTTTGTCGAAAATTCTAAATTACTTGCTTCTAGGGATACACTGGAGGTGCGAGGGGCTCATGTAACCGAATCAACTGTTCTAAGGGGTCGAATACACATCAATCATGAAACCGATCAACTGAAAGTTTCGTAAGTATTGAATCAATTCAACCACCCACTCATGAATTCGTCAACCCAGCAAGAGCTATTACCACACTTCTCTGAATTTCCTTCACAAAAGCACCGTATAAGATGCGTACCTTCATTGATAGAATACGATTTGAAATTTCGGTTGCTTCCCAACTGTTGGGGATTTAGCTCCGATGGGCTGCTTGTTACTGTTCTATCCTCAGCCGCACCGTTCGGGCGCGTGTCGGTCGAGGTGGGTTGTACAGCATCGGTCCGTTCTGTGGTCCCAATGCGGGTGAATCTGTCGAGGATCTCGGACACTTTGGATCCACGTCGAGGTCGATTTGGGAAACGGGTACTATTCTGCATCAGCCGGACGCGGTCAGCTATCCCATCGCTGGACTCATCCGTCTGATTTCGCAAACGGCTTGAGCCCCGTGTGTAGGACCACCGCCTGACAGGACTTGTCTCAGCACTGGCCCCGGCAGATTTGGCGGATGAAGGAATGGAGTGCAAGTTGGC